ACCCGCGTAACCCACGGGGCTGGGAGGGACCCGCGTAACCCACGGGCGGGAGGGACCCGTGCAACCCATGGGCCGGAGGGACCCGCGCAACCTACAGGCCGGGAGGGCTGCCCGCCGGGACCCTGGGGATAGCGGGGCTGGGCTGTCTTCCTGACACCCCCAGGGAGAGCATGGGAACTGCATGGTTTTCAATCCCAATCTGTGCAATGGTCTAGGCGGGGATTAAAAAAGATACATATATTTATGTATATACTAGAGGCCTGTGCACGACATTCGTGCACTCGGGGGTCCCTCAACTGACAGTAGGACATCCTTAGCGCTGCTGCAGAGGTGGGAGAGGCTCCTGCCACCACTGCTGCCCTCACCAGCCGTCAACCTGGCTCAGGCTTTCTGGCTGAGTGGCACTCCCCCTGTGGGAGCGCACTGACCACCAGGGGGCAGCTTCTGTGCTGAGCATCTGCCCCCTGGTGGTCAGTGTGCGTTATGGCGACTGGTCTGCCGTTGGGTCAGTTTGCATATTGGCCTTTTATCATATAGGATGATGCTGAGCTCTTCACCCATCCGTGTGACGCAACATTGGAACTAAGGCTGTGGGTGGGAGGGGGAGTTTGAAAAACTAGACCCAGAGGAAAAGAGTGAAGGGAGAGGAATCCTGGAGACTCCTGGGTGGCTCTAGCTCCTTCCTTCTCTTCTCCAATGAAAACCTGTGAGTGAGGCTCTGGCTCCTCAGGCTTCTGAGGATGAAAGTGCAACGTTGGACAGGGAGGTGCTCAAAGTCGCTGAAGAGCCGTCACAGTCAAGGTGTGAACCTGTCAGTGTCACCTCCTTTGCTTTGTGGGGACCACTATTCACCCCCCCCCCAACTGCCTTTTAACTAGACTCTGCGCGGTTCTCGCTCTCGCTCGCTGTTGCTGCTGCTGCTGAGGTTGCTGGGAGCTGCCGGCGCCCCGGTCGGTCTCTTGGGAAGAGGGCCATGGAGGTCTGGCAGCTGCTCAGTTCACTGCGGTGATGGGGCAGGCGCTTGGGACACAGGAAGGCAGACAAGCCAGGCACAGGCGGGCAGCGGGGCCAGGAGGCCCGGGGCAGAGCCTCTGTAGCTGGGGCCGGGCATTTTGTACTTTACTAACCTCTATTCCTGCGGGTGTCCAAGCAGCTTAAGGGCTGAGGGGGGATGCGTTCTCAGAAAGGCACGGGCCTGAGCCAGCACCACCTGCAAGGAAACCGATCCCATCTGGCACCCGCTGGTGGAGGGGCAGCTACCCCCAGGGCAGCCCCAGGGTCCTCTGCTCGGAGAGGCTGACGCCAAGAGGCCAAAGGAGAGACCACCGAGTACCAATGGCCGAGTGCTCAAGTCCCGGAGCAGGTGCTATTAACATGTAAGAAGGTCCAACTATTTCCTGTTTCCTGGGTTTCTTTCCTTAAGAAAGAGCCAAGCTAAAGCAGACTAAATGCTCTCTCTCCCTCAATGTGAATGTAACTGTGGCTTTTTGTTTTCGCTGACAGTCCATGGCTTACATGGTACTTGCTCTTCAGGAGGCGGAGGAAATGGTTCTAGCGTAGACTGTGCCTGGGTCTGTGTGGACACATCCGTATACACACACACACACACACACGCACACACGCACACCAGCTCTGTAAAAGCAAATTCATCTGAGGATATTTTTTCCATTGATTTTTAGACACCGATTGGTTGCCTCCCGCACACGGCCGACCAGGCGGGATTGAACCTGAAACCCAGTTGCTCAGGGAATTGCGTGAACCGATGACCCTTTGGTGCGGGGCCCAAGCTCTAACCACAGGAGCTTTGAATTAGCAAAAAGCCAATGCGGGAGGAAGGGGGTCAGGTTGGAGGCTCAGCAGCAGCGGGGCAGGGTTGTGGGAAACCAGGGGCCCAGGCGCCCAGGCTCCGGCCGCTTGAGGCTTCGAGGGGGAGTG